AAAACACAGCACTATGCCAGCTACTAGGAATAAAATTAACTATTCCAGCCAAAACCAGGACAATCTTAAAGACATTCTGCTCTCTTTCCTGTTTATGGAGTATTTGATTGGACACAAGCAACAATCCCACATAACTAACTGCTAGTCACCCACCTCAGTTAGCAAGCTGGCATGCAAACACTTTGCCATTTGCAAAATCTTTCACTCTTTTTTTTTTTTAAAGAAGAGTTATTTCCCAAAAATCCAAGAAGTAGCATTCCCATAGAGCAATTAAGAACAGCTCAATTAATTGAAAAAGGCATATGATGCAAACTATTTGCCCATTTCTAGACACAACCACACAAACAACATAGTGTATTACTGCCTCTTCAATGAACTTACCAAATTGCACTGCCATGAGTTAGAGAAGAGCCTAGGACTTAGTGCTCTCAGGTCATTTTGTGTATGGGCACAAATATGTACTCGCCCTTGCACCTAAATGCAAAAGAGATGCTGACTCCCTCATCAATGTGTTGCACTTCTCTTTACATTTTATTCCAACAGCCCAGAAACATGGTCTTTGCTTTGTAGTGAAAACATTTTGCAGTGGCTTGGCTTTCCTTTGAAAGGAGGCTCCCTTTATGAGCAGCCATGCAATATTGCAGATAAGGGAGGTAAGGCAAGCAGCAGCGCTGGCAGGGTTTGTTTCCCAGGGTGGCAGGTTGCCTGAATGGTGACCTGTGGTGCAGGAGTGCCAGCGGCAAAAAGCACGTCTGGGGAAGAGAAACATCTCCCTCGGACCTCAGCTCTCCCATGGCAATGTGGCTGCGTGCATCAGGTACTGTGCCCAAAACACATGTAAGTGGCTTCAGGGGCAGAAGCGGGCATCTTGCCCCACCCAGGAGGGCCACAGGCAGGGCAGGACTTTGCTGTGCCCCCCAGCGGTGGTGGGACCCCCGGCTGCTGGGGCTCAGGCCACTACGGCAGCAGGGAGCCGCCCATGCTGCTCTGGACACAGCAAAGGCACAGCCGCATGCCGGAGCATGACTCGCAATGCACTTTGTGAGGTTTTGTTTGCTGTGCTTTGCGGTATGCCGCTGAAAAAATCATGTTCTGTGAACAAAGGAAGAGAGCAAGGATTTCTGTTTGTGTGTTTTCCACTCAAGAGGGAAAATACCCAGCAAAGCAGGGAAATAAAACCAAACACATCTGTGGTGCCTTGGCAGCCTGCTCCCAAAGGAAAACAAATTCAGAGGTCCTCTACTCCTCTGCAGGCTGTACAGTGGCCTGCCTGCATTTTTTTTTTCTAGTGAAGCCACACCTTATTTCCACCAGTATTGCTGGGCAAAATAATCAGACCAAATCTTTTCACCAGCAGTGGCTAGTTAACAAAACAGAAACAAAGTTTAGACTAACGACAGGCTGAAGCAGCAGATAGGTCTTCCAACTTCCTCATCAACAGTGTGTTAACCCATTTTGCATAGGAGTATCAGCCAGGAAAATTCACATCCAGACTTTCCACTGCTCCAAAACGTTGTTGGGCCACACTCTAGCATGCTGGTTTTAATGTTTTCTGAGAGCAAGTTCTTTGCAGTAACCTCTTCCAGCAGATTACAGTTAAAACCGAATATATATCCATTGTTCACAGAAGCTCACAGTCTCCATACCAGACCCTTTCAACTGCTCTCCCTTTTTCTCAGCCTCTCTAAAGACCGTTGCAATTGCTACCCCTTATCTCACATCACAGCAGGTCCCTCAGCATCCATTTGGGTTACTCAGACCTCTTTCAGCTTCCCTCTTGATGCTTCAACCTGTGCAGTGAACCTACTAATGGCTCCCTCTGAAGGTGACCTGCATCTCTTGGTTCCTCACATTAAGGCAGAGAGCACTAAGTAGGGTTTCCAGCAGCAGAGAAATTGGGTGACCTCCTTCTCCCCACTTAGGCTGCTAGTGACACAGCCTGCCAGGCATAGGTTGGTGCTGCAAATCATAGCGTTATCAAATGCATTTGTCATGGCAGCTGCTAGAAGACCCTGTGGAGATCATAAACAACAAGCTGGAGCTTCAGGCCTTTGACCAAATCGATGAGGAAATCAAACTCATCGGCTACTTCAAAGGAGAAGACTCTGAACGTAAGATGAATGTGTTCCTCGTGGGGCTTGGAGCCTGGCTCGGGGCGCTGGGGTTGGACCTTGGTTCTTCTGCATGAACATTAAGGGTGTTAGGGGTATATGGCAGGCTGTGACAGTGCCAAAATTGCTGGAGGATGAGGTGGGGTTGCAGGCAAGTTTCTGCTGTTGCTATGCATGACCCCATTCCTACACCAACAGCAGTGACCCTTCTGCAAGGTGTCTGCTGCCAGGAGAAGGGGGCGATAATCCAGGGGCTCCTGAAGTAAATTAAGTCTACCTCACCCAAAATCAGCTGAGATTACAGTACACTGGGTGAGCACCTAAAGGGAGAAAAGCTCCCCCTCTTACGAGTAGTGCACCCAAAATGTCAAAGAAAGAGGGAAGGAGGCAAAGGGACAGAGGTGGACACACATTAAATACTGACGTGGCAAACATACAGTAGCAGTAAGCAGGACACCTTAGGGCAGCCCAGCAGAGGCACTGACCTGTTTCTCCTTGCTGGAGCTCAAGACTGAGAAGAGGCTGGTCCCATGCCCTGAAGGATATGCAACTCAGGGACCATTCCAGGCAAAACCATCAGCTTTCCTGAGTCTTGAGAAGCCCTTGCCCGAGACTTTCCCTGGCAAGCCCCAGCAGTCTCCTTTGCCAACCCCAAGAGCTCCCCTGGCTCTCCGGGCGGTACTGGCAGCATGCACCCCACACTTGCAAGGCTTGCCTTTCACAAAAAGATGGTATTCCTACCTGAACAAGCAACGTATCACCAGGTCTGCTGCAATGCAACAGCCCATCCACCTCTCCCTTCAGCTTTCTCACCCACTCAAAATGGGCTGCAGGGCAGCTCAGACAGGGATGTGCCCCTAATGCTGTTCAGTAATAAGTATTTTGAAGAAAGGTGAGAAATACCTGCTATACACAGCTCCCACCAGGCTGAGAGCATCCTTCCTGACCCCAGCTGAGGACCTGATACCAGTAACAGTAAAAACATACCTTGTTCCTGCCCCCTCCTCCTGCAGCAAGAGGAGCATGTCTAATTATGCTTGGTGACTGTTTAGGGAATGGCAGCAATCATTAATGCTGGACTAACTCCATGTATTTCCCAGGCTGAACTACTGTTTGTGCAAGAGGGCAGCTGCAGACACCCCTATCAACAGGCTGGAGTTGCAGCCCCTGTACCTGCTTCGCCGCCCCTGCTGCGCGGGCCTGCCGATTTCAGCCGCGGTTAAGCATGCCATGCTGGGATCTGTAGTTTTCCTGAGCACTGTGGAGCTACACAACATGTGTCCTGTTTGCTCCACATGAAATTGTCCTTGTTTGTAAACCCTGGAAGGGTGGAAGAAACAGTGCCGTCATCTGATGTATTTTGCAATAATTTATATTTGTTCTTCCCTAGTGCGTTCTGTGCTGACCAAAGCATGGCCAGCTGCCTGTGAAATCTTTTCTTCATCTCCCTTTTCTCCTTCCAGATTACAAGGCATTTGAAGAAGCCGCTGAACACTTCCAGCCGTACATCAAGTTCTTTGCCACCTTTGACAAAGGGGTAAGCATCCACGGACCTCACCATGAGAGCTCACAGCCTCCACCACCTATTTTCCAGAAGCTCGGGATGCTCCCAGGTTTAATATCTGGCTCCAGCTTCTCATCTTCAGCATTCCTGTAATTTGTGGTATTGGTGTTCACATTTGGATTTGGCCCTGTCACAATATAGAAGGCTGTTGCTGCAGCATGGAGGCAGGTCCTGGTCTGAGTTTAGAAACCAGCACCATTAGGTTTGTGGGACCTTGACTCTGGCCTTGCTCTGCTCCAGTGCTTGAGACCAGTAGTGTAGAGAGCACCAGTGTTTTTTTGACCAAGGAAAGATCTAATCATATATTGTTGGCCACTCCTAAGAGTGCACGCTCTGAAAGAGAGCAAGCACCTTGACCTCAGCTCTGCCACCGGGAGAGACTCTGGGTAGGCAAAGAGGCACATCAGGCTCACTCACCTCTGACCATCTGCACTGCAACAGGTTGCCAAGAAGCTAGGTCTGAAGATGAATGAGGTGGACTTCTATGAACCGTTTATGGATGAGCCTGTTCACATCCCCGATAAGCCTTACACAGAAGAGGAGCTGGTTGAATTTGTGAAGGAACACAAAAGGTATGTAGCACACAGGACACTCCCAGCCATGGGAAGCAGGTAAAGGTATCTGTCATTGCAGGCTTGCCCCTCTAGGGTGTCACTCTCAGTAAAAATTAGGATGACAACCACCTTTTGATTTGCTCACCCAGGTTTGAGATTTTGTCTGGTCTTTTCCTACTCCCACAGGTGTATCTGCTGCAATCAGCCCGCCACCATGGGGCTGTGACAACACAGCTTCCTTCCTCCTCCTCCCTGGTTAGTACTCCCTCAAAGAGCAGGGAAGCTTGCAGGCAATGGAGAGCAGAAGCCTTGCCCTACTTGCCCATGCTTTTAATTTAGGTTTGTTACAGAAGATTATCTTCTCCAAGGCCTCTCAAGCCAAAACCAAATTCTGTCCAGTCCCCTCCTTCCCCAAAACAGCTTAACTAACAGGTATATCCCTCTCCTGACATCAGCTATGTCTGTAGGCATGTTCTGAACTCAGACCAAGCTCAGAGGAACTGTGATGGACTAAGGGACCCCTGCTGACCACAGGTGCAGAGAGGAAGCCATTGCTGTTATGGCTGTCTTAGTCCTCATCTGCAAAGGTGCTGAGCACCTACAATATTTGATCAAGTCAGTGGGAGCTGTGGATGCTCTGTGCTTTTTGTGATCAGGTTTATTGCAGTTGTTTAGGGACTCGGCCACCAACAGTCTGGAAGCGACTGGAGAGGCTGATCCCGTGTAAAAGCACAGTGTTAAATATAAGGGCATGGCTACCTATGAGGTGCTGTATTTTTACACCTTTAAAAATACGGCACAGGATAGTCATGCAGGTTATCTGCTGCTTCTGCAACTGCATTTCCCAGCAGATATTCAAGGGACCAGAAAAGAGTTCAAGAAAAGCAGGGCTACTGACACTGATAAGGGAACCCAAACTGGGCTGACCTGGAGGTTTGTGTTCACACACAGAAAGTTTAGAGACAGGAGATCATCTCCAGAGTCTGCAAGTCACCAGACTTGGAAACAGATCGCTGCTTTTTCTGAAATATGAAGGAGTCCTCTGTCTCCCATGTACTCGCAGGTCACTTTGCTGACCTCCTGGACCTCCTGACCTCAGTCCTTCCCGTCTTTCTTTCCAAGCTCTTTCTGTCAGGCAGCAGTATCAGGAGGCTGATTAAACACAGTCAGCTAAGTGCTGGCCTAATAAGGCAAGCTCCCCACCAGCACAAAATTGCAGTGGAAGCCCCCCAAGTCTTACATATTTCAAGATGTTGTGCTTGGTAGGAGCAAGGGGTTGGGTCATGTATTTTGCAGGTGCCAAGGCTCAGAAGGGAATTAAAAGGAATCTCATGAAATTGGACGCCTGAAATCCCAGACCTGCCAAGGTGCTGCCATGGCAGGGGAAAAACCTTGGGGTGACAGTGACATGTTCCCAGCAGTTAACACTTCCAAAGGCTGGAAGTGGAATTAGTCAGACACAGAGAAGATCAGGCCTGTAGAGAAAAACGAAGCTACCTCAGCAGCTGCCACATGCTGGTTCCCTATAGACAATTTGGCAGGATCTTCTGCTCTGCAGGAAGATGTAGAGGACCACTTGCCTCCTCCCCTTCACACAGCAGACTTTCTTGCTTCACCCCAGGTGGCAGGCATGGGATATCCCTCCACTGAGGTGCAAAGGCCCGCTGCCACCTCTCCATCCTGCAGAAGGAGTCCCATCACATCACTGGGAAAAGCTCCCAGTGCTCAGCAGTACCCAGGCTCTTTGGCATGCTTTACACAGCTCTTCCAAAAAGGGCTGCCTGCTGCCGTGGCCAGGCAGGCTTCACCACCTCTTGCTCCAGCCTTGCATGGAAATTGGGATTTGCTGAGCTCTCATTGCAGCCTCAAGACAGGAGCTGAAGCATGTGCCCAGGAGGAGCCCAGGGGCAGCCTCCTGGATGATGCTTCCCTGGGCAGCTGCAGGCAGTGGTGGGAAAGTTCATCCTCTCCCAAGCAGGTCAGGAAGCCAGTGTTCAGCACAGTGGGGTGACTTGTCCAAGGTCAATAGGTGTCCATCTGGGGATGGTGGCTGGGTGCTGTGACCCTGAGGTCTCAGCACAGATTTTGCTCTCAGTTGCACAAATACAAATTACATGGTATTTCCTCTGCCTGCAGCAAGAGGCCTCTGGATTTATGCCTATTTTGCATGCAAAATGCTGGGGGTGGACACCCCTACACCACCACCCCAGGCCCCGCCATTCTCTGTAATTGTGGTGTAGTGGTGTGGGGTCTGAATTCTGCTCCCTCTTATTTGCCTAAACCCTGCTTAACTCACTCCCTCCAGCACTGAGGAGTAAACAGAGTAAATCTTGAGTAACTCCACAACAATCAGTACACGTGGGTGTGATCAAATCCTTCCCACCAAGTTTCCTTTCTCCAAGACAAAATGCCCCCAGAGAATGGCTAGGGAAAGCATCTTGAAAGCCAGGTACAAGTACATAACATGCATTCACCTGATACAATCTCCAGTTTCTGACAATCAGCAATGAGGAGACTTGCTGAGTCAGAAATTGTATCCCTGATCTTGTGCTTAGTGACTATTTCTTCAATTTCTATAGTAATTTTTTACCTCATTTCTATTTTGATGCTGCAAGTATCCAATTGTAATGAGGTCAGTGGCTGAATTATGCATTGCATCAAAAGAGCATTCCTATTTGTTCAGTTTATACCTGCTACCTAATAATTTAACTGTGTGCCTACTAGCTCTGGTGTTATGAGGAACAATGACTAGCCATTCCCTGTTTCACTTTTCTTTTTTTTACCACTCCTGATTTTTTAGACTGTATGCCCTGCTAGTATCCTCTTCATTCACCTCTTTTATGAGATAAAGAGTCGTCATCTGTTTAATCTCCCCCAAACAGAGGTCATTCCATACCTTTGTTCACTACTGCCATGTTTCCATGTCCCTTCTTCAGTTGTCCCATATAATTTCTCTGATGGGATGACCAGAACCACAAAAACATTCACTGTGGAGGTGCATAGTGTAGTTGTCCATTGCTATAACAGTATGATGTGTTTTTCCAACTGTTTGTAATGTTCTTTTTGCCTTTTGCCTTTGGAACTGATGCTTTCTCAATTTGTGACACCTGGGCCCCTTTCCTGAGAGGCAATAATTAATTATAACTAATTTAGAATCCATTGTTGCACCTGTATAATCAGGGTTGATTTTCTGCAAGTGCATTACTTCCTATGTCTATCATGCAGACACTCAAGTCTCAGGAGATCCCTCTGTATCTCCTCATAGTCAGGCCTGTGTTGGTTGTCTGAAGAATTGGATGTGATGAGGAAATGCTGCCATACTTCTGTTTTCCATCTTTTTCAGATTATGTGAGAATATGTTATTCATATGATTATGCTAAAGCATATGCTATGAATCTTAATTAGTTAATTCCCTCTGTCATGAAAACTGACCATTCATCTCCACCGTTCATCTTCCAATGTCATGAATCCACAGGAGGACCTCTCCTCTCATCTAACTGCAGCTTAGTTTCTCTGAGACCCTTTAGTAAAGGACCTTGTCCAATGGTCCTCTGAAGGCAGTTCACTGCATTGACCAGCATAACTTTGCCCACTTGTTGACTTGCTCTGGCAACTCCAGCAGATCCATGGCCATGATTTGCCTCTTAAAGGCCATATGTCTCTTGTCCTATCACATCATTTTCCTTCAAATGTCTCTTAACTCTACTTTTTCTGGTAGCATCATGCCCATAAGGAAGTTACTCTTCTAGTCCTCCTCAGGTCCTTTAGGAACCTCTAAAAATTGCTCCTTGTTTCCACTGCACTGGTAGCAAGGCAAACTGAAGCGACAGGTTACACATCTCATTGATGCCACCTGGTCCTGGCAATGCTGCTACTCCCTTTGTCAATTTGTTCTAGGACCTCATCGATGGACACCTCATTGCCAACAGCTCCTGGGGCTGGTCTGCCAGGGAGACCCGCTCTGCTGGGGGAACATCCATGAACGCTTGATGCCAGAGTGGGCAGAGGTGCAAAGATTAACTTTACTTGTGCTTGTCTGCTATGGCCTTGTGTTCTTTGGGTGCCCCTTTAACACCCCAGTCACCTCTCAGCCTGCCAGGCTCTCTGACAGGCTTCCTGCTATGGATGTGTCTGAAAACATTTACTATTCTTTTTTTTTTTTTTTGTCCTTTATGAACTACTTCTCAAAAATATTTGCTTTGGCCAGTCTTATGGTTTAAATTTTCTTGCCAGCAGTTATTATGATCTAAATTTTCTTGCCAGAGGTTGTTCTGTCTTCTTTGCTTCAGCAGAGTTTGGAAGGATTTTTATAGTGGAATTATGCTAGGGTAAAACCTGGAGAAAAGGAGGGAAAAGCCCAGTAGGAATGTCCCAGGGACTGCAACACACAAGTGAATGGGTCACCTTCTGCTCTCAGCATGGACAGAACAATCTGCCATGTGTGGGACTCATTTACCCGTGTACCCTGGCACAGAGAGCCATCTCATCTTCCCAAGCACAAATAGCGTCTGCAGTGACTCCAGTGGGGGCAAGGGCAGGGTTTTACCACCATAAATAAAAGCGTAAGTTGACCTGCTGTGCCCCCAAGCTTGCATTCAAATCATGGTGGCTGACGGCACCAACTCCAGCCACCAACCAAATGTGCCATCGTGACCTTTTCTGTGACACTGGCAGCGTCATATGTGACGGTGCTGGATGTGTCCTCAAAGAGTGTCTGTCTTCTTTTCAGGGCCACCTTGAGGAAACTGCGCCCAGAGGACATGTTTGAGACGTGGGTAAGCACACGCGGGTGGGAAGCCTTGTGTCCCCTGCTAGCTTCCAACAAGAAACCACTGCTCAAAAGCTCTAGCCTCTGGCTGGGCAAAAGATTATCTTTCCTTCCTTGCAAAGCCTCTTTCCCCACTCTGGGAAGAAGGGAAAGCCTTGGTTATGATGCCCAGTGCCTGAGTTCAAACAGTGTGCTCAGATGCTTTGCTCAGCAGTGGTGGACAGCCGATCTGGGTCCTGTTTCCTCCACAGAGAGAACACGGAAAGCTAACCAGCTGTGCCAGGCGGGTGTTGAGCCTCTGTAGCGGCCAGATATAGCTATGACATAGCTATGGAGAGCATCATTCCCAAGGATGCTCTATCCTATCTAATGGGCATCAGTGTTGGTGGTGGGGTGACACCAGCCTGCTTGCTGGGTGAGCTACAGAGGTTGTACTGAATGGATGACTCATGGAAATTGTACCAGAGCAGTTGTACAATTCAAAATGCAAGCAAAGGCAGGCAGTTCGGTTAATTATATAGATTACAGAGCAAATCATGCATTGATTGCACTTCTCACGGTGTGAGCAAGCTGCAAGTCAGCGATTATGAAGAACTAACCAGCAGTTTGGCACTGATCGCACACAGAGGACTCCCCTGGTCTGCAAGTGTGGGGGGAAAAAGGCAGAGGGTGAAAATGAAAGAAAAATCATGTATCATAAATTATCCCTTTACTGTGAATGAGTATAATGTTAATAGCCAGTCATGGACCTTCAAGTACCAGCTGAATGCTGAAAAACAAAGCTGAACAGGTGCTTTACAGACACTAAGGAAGATGCAGTCGTTCCTCCAGAAAGCTCGGCACATTTATAACAGCATTCAGTTGCCTCCTTGCTTGGCTGTGTAACATGGAACACTGCAGGACTCTGAAGCGCCAAAAACCTTGGGAGTCTTTAATACAAGGCAAGAGGTAGTAAAACTGAATCAGGAGTTATGAGTCACTTAGGCATGATAGCTTTTCATTTTATTTTGAAATACAGATTCTGTATAGAAGATAGCTTCCCAGAGATATTGAAGTCCCTCAAAGATTTTTCATGGGGCTTCACTGGGATGCAAACTTCACATGCAGTGGTTTTTCTTTTATACTAAATATATTCTCAAATGGCCTCAGGAAAAGTGTGAATTGCCAGTGATGGGATGTGCCCTTTACCAGCAGCCTGGGAACGCAGAGCTTGCCTCTGCTACAAGCAGGGGACTCGTACCTACAGGTGACAACAGGCTGGATTCTGATCTCGCTGAAAGTTCAGAACATCCCCAATGCCTTCACTGGAATTACTCCAGTTTTGTTTGTTGCTTTGGAGGTCAGAATATAGCTGTATTATATGGCTATATATATAATTATATATTGCTTTTTTTTTTATTTTATTTTGCTCTCTGACAATGCTGTGAGAAAATATGGAGAAAAAGCAACAGTGTAGATTTTGCCAGCTGTAAGTGGTCTGAATCCCAAGTAAATCTGCCTAGAATGCCCCGGTGAAAATGTATTCCCTGAAGACACCAGCAAAGGCCCAGCATCTGCTATTGTTTTTAAAGATAATGTTTTCCACTTAATCTTTCAGGGGTTTTTTTGCTTTCAGTTTTTGATGGTGGCTTTGTCACCTCTGGGCTCAGAAGGGAAAAGAAATTAGCATTTAGATGGGAATTTTTTCTCGCATTAAAACCAATTGAAATGGAAACGGGGACCAGCAGCGGGTGAGGAAGGCAAAGCTGATCTGTGGGATAATTCGGAGATGACATTCATAGCAGGTGGATGATGAACCGGCCGGCAGATCCATTGGCCTTTGCCAATATCATTACCCATTACTCACGTGTCTCACAGAGAAAAGCAGTCCACCAGGCTGTCATTTCTGTTCTCCACTCATTGGAGCCCTGAAATGAGCTTCCCACTCAATTCCCCTTGTTCTTCACAGAGACCCTCATCTAAAGCAGAGACCCTTCACCTTCTGAAAGGTGTCCAAGTGAGCCACCTCACCTCTCATGTTGCGAGGAAACCTCCTTTGCTGGCTCCAAAGCAGCATTGTTTGTGGTCTGAACATGGTGGCAGATATTTACTTCCCCACAAACCATGCACTGACAGCTGCAAATTAATGAGGGTAGGTGGCCTCGGGTGTAGAGGGTAAGCCCATATTCCCATGCTAGAGAGCCCTTGGGCTTCTCTGCAGGCAAGGTTTTGCCCCACACCATCAGAAACTCCCTTGCTTTTGCCATCAGGGTGCCCACCTCATTTTTAGCTGAAGGGTTTCAGCAACACTACCCAAACTACCTGCTTCAGTACCTAATACCTCTACAACTCAGCCTCACCGCAGCTCCTGTTTCTGATGTCTCGGTGGGGCTCCAGTCAAGCCTCCCTTTGCAATCATCCTGTTCGTTTGAAGGCATCCCACCACTCCTCATCTCCAGCAACCACCCGGACTCTGTCCTCCCTCCCTGGCCCATCAGTAATAGTTTTGTTGTTTCCAGGAGGATGACATGGAGGGAATCCACATTGTGGCCTTCGCTGAAGAAGATGACCCAGGTAGGAGGCCGTTTTCCTCCTTGCATGACTCTCCATCACTCAAGACGGTGTCGTTTCATGTGCTTTGTTTGCATTGTGGAGCCCTACGCCCTGGCCAAGAAGGGGAGCCCCAGCCTGCTGGGATGGGGAGCTGGGATGCTGCTGGGTGTTTATGCTAGCAGATGTGCTAGCCGGGATTCAAATTCTGGATATAAATGGGTGGCTGGCTGGGGAAAAAAAAGTCATCCCCTCCACCCCAGTGCCAGGATTTGCTCCCTAACTCTGCGTCCATCTTGCTGTGTGGCTCCAGGAAAGCGCTGAGGGCTGGGTATGTGATGTGCATGTGGGAAACCCTTGGGCATCAGCTCCTGAAAAGCTGTGGCATTGGCGCTTCTCAGCACCATCAGCGTGCCAAAAAGCTTCGGCCTCTCGGGGGCTCAGTTCCTCCCTCGCCACAAGAAAATAGTGACATTGTTCCACTCCACGGAAGGATTACGAGACTTAATTCATGTGTAACTAATTTCAATACCCGGGGAGGATGCTCGAAATTAAAAGCCTTATTATCAGCAGAAAGAGCTGGCAGACAGCATTTTAATGAGAACTATAAACAACTCCTGTGTCCATAGGGGGGTGAGGGAAGTTGAAAACCCTGCAAGCGAAAAGTGCCTGCATGTTTGCAGGAGAGGGCTGCAGCAGTTCATGTATCATTTCAGATGGTTTTGAGTTCCTGGAAATCCTGAAGCAGGTTGCCAGGGACAACACTGATAATCCTGACCTGAGCATTGTCTGGATTGACCCCGACGACTTTCCTCTGGTGAGTGGCAGGGGCTGCTTGCCTGTCTTGGTTTAATTCATGGATGGGTATGTGTGTATGCATGAGCACAAGAATTGCCCCAGCGCATGCACAGGATATAAAGGGTGGGAAATGGGAACACAGGTGATGCCTGATAGCTGCTTGTTCGAATCTGCCTCCCATGAAGGTGGTGTCTTGGGAACATCCCCAGAGCTGGCACTTTTCTTTGCGGTGGCCCAAGCTTGTGGTCAGCCTCTCTTCTCTCCTGTGCACTCATCCATGCACGGTCCCTGCACCACAGCCCAGCCAGCTGAATTAATGCAATGGGGTATTGCAGATGCCCTTGTCTCAGCTTTGTTTCTCTCTCCTGCAGCTGATCACTTACTGGGAGAAGACCTTCAAGATTGACCTGTTCAGACCACAGATTGGAGTGGTGAACGTCACAGATGTGAGTAGCATGTGCCCAGAAAATCCAGTGACCCCAAGATTAGGGTGCTAGAAAGGACGGGATCTGAGGTCCGCTGGAATCAGTGGCACTTCTGCTGTTAAGTGGAAGTAGACCAGGCTTTTTCTCTGGGAAAAAGTGTGAAGACCTAACCATTCCCACACACAGCTGGAGTCATAGCACCTCCAATGTCAGGCTTTGGTCTGAGCATGTTTCTGCTGCCAAGTCACATGCAAACCATGTCTGCTGAGGACAGGACCAGCCCCTGTGGTCTGAGCTTCAGGGCTTTGCCTGGTTTTTGTTTTCAAGGTCTCACATTTCCACCTCAACCCACAGCATGCACCATTGGGCCCTGCTCTGACTGAATCTGGGTGGGCTTGTGGGGGAAAACTGTGTGTGTGTATGGGGAGAAAGCAAGCCATGCTTAGGGGAGGAGAAGAGGAGAAAAAGGAGGGTGTTTTTGCAGCAGAAGCAGAACAGCCCAGCTTGAGTGTAGGAGGGAAGGATGGTCCCCAACAGACAACAGGGAGAAAAGATGACAGGGAGAAACTGCACAGGTTGGAAAAAAACCAAATAAATACACAGCCTTAATAAGAGTATGACATAAACTGGTAATGGAGGGATCCTGCTGGGGCGAAGAGAGTATACTGGGGTTCATCCAGGCCCTCCTCCTCCTCAGTCATTGCCGTGCAGGTGGTACTGGAGGGGTTTGGGTGGGAAGGGCTGCATCAAAAGCAGCATGGCCAGCAGGTGGAGGGAGGTGATTCTGCCCCTCTACTCTGGTCTGGTGAGACCTCACCTGGAGTACTGCATCCAGCTCTGGGGCCCCCAGCACAAGAAGGACATGGACCTGTTGGAGTGGGTCCAGAGGAGGGCCACCAAAATGATCCGAGGGCTGGAGCACCTCTCTATGAGGCCAGGCTGAGAGAGTTGGAGTTGTTGGAGAAGAGAAGGCTGCGGGGAGACCTTATTGCAGCCTTTCAGTACCTAAAGGGGGCCTATAGGAAGGATGGGGGCAATCTTTTTAGCAAGGCCTGTTGTGACAGCACAAGGAGTAATGGATTTAAACTAAAGAAGAATAGATTTAGACTGGATATAAGGAAGAAATTTTGTACAATGAGGGTGGTGAAGCACTGGAAGGGGTTGCCTAGAGAGGTAGTGGAGGCCCCATCCCTGGAAACATTCAAGGTCAGGTTGGATGGGGCTCTGAGTGGTTAAAGCTGTCCCTTCTCCCTGCAGGGGGGTTGGGCTAGATGACCTCTAAAGGTCCCTTCCAACCCAAAGCGTTCTATGATTCTATGTCCGCCCCATGCTCGGTGGCAGTGAAAGGTTTCCACACTGTCCCACAGCCGGCAGTGCTGCAGAGGGAGGGCTGCACAGGCAGGTGCTGCTTTGGCGCGGCTGCGGTGGTGGTACCCACAGCATCCACAGCTGTGCTATCGGGCCAGCTTTCTGGCAGCTACTGTTTTTACCATGGTTGCCTCAAGACCAGCAAGCCATGGGATGTCAGGTTGCCTACACACTGTGAGCTTTTAAGACAGGTGGGAGAGGGACCCATCTGACCCCCACCAGCAGAGATCTGGGGAGAGCTGCTGAGTGCAATGTAATGTGCATCACGGCCCTGACATGACGACGGAGAGAAACCATTTTTCCTCTTTCTGACAATAACAGTCCAGACTATCAGAGAGTATGTAACGTAGCACTCTCCAGCCTGGCTCGCTTATTACCTTAGTTTATTTTTTATGGTTAAGTGCTGGGTGTTTTAGTCTTTTTAAAATGAACATGTGTGGGTATGTAATTGTCTCTGGAAGCAGAAATCTCTCCACTGCAGAAGTGTTTGTAATTTGGTGCTTGACTTTGTGTTTGAAATTTCAGCTGTATGGGAACCCGATGTTTCATTAGAAGAGAGCAGAGGGGAACTTAGAGTTGGGACAACTGTCCAGGGCTGGGCGCCTGTCCTGGCTCCACCACTGACCTTGCTCCCAGTCCATACGTCCTCTCTCCTGTACCTCCCCACAAAAAGAGGGACAGTGAGGGAGTACTAGAGTATTGTGCCTCCTGTTACAACAAGTGTTGCAGGACCAGAAGATGGGAGACGTGGTAGGGAAGGCAAAGTGATGGCATTATGAAGAAAGCGGAGGCCCTGGATCTTGCCTGTCCCATTGAAGGGAATGAGAGGGAAGCGCACAGGCTGGCTTGGGAGTTATGGATTAGATGTGGCACTGGCTGGGTGTGAGCAGTGCTTTACCTGTAATAGAACAGCATCCACCAGACCATGGGACAGACACCTAGAGGGTGGGGACCCAGTGGGTTAAGGCTTGTTAGCAGAATTGTTAAGGGAGAGACAAAAGGGAAGAGGGCCAAGATAGCCCCTGTGACCTAAAATCATGAGAAATTAAGAGACAAGCCAGAAATAGAGCCCAAGTCTTCCAGTCTTTTGCCCTTATTACTAGCCCGCAGTGTCTCTCTTCATTATATTTACTGCAGTTGGCTGTGTTTAAATCATATCAAAGCTACATAAAACGGCTAGCAATGAAATTCATAGAAGTTGGATTGTCAGTGGCAAGAGAATCATATAGAAAGCAGTATTAGGCAGGAACATATGCCTTATTATCCAACAGTCACTCAGAGACCTGTAAAAACTCATGCATTATCTAACTTTGATAAAGTAAATATTTCAGGTTGTTGAGTATAGTATTTGCAGTTTTTATTTCATTCCACTTAAGTATGTTTTCTATTCCTCAAGAGAGAGATTTAAGAAAGTTCTAGGTTGGCGGGTGATATCTAAAACAAACACTGAGCTCATTTCGTTATTTCAGTGTTACATCACTGCATTCAGCCAAGTTACACAAGTACAAAGTGGGGCTTACACAATGGAGTGAAAATAAACATTGCTGTTGGCTTTGGTGGACATAACCCCTGTGACCCCATCGCTTCTCTAAAAACCTGCCAATACAAACACCAGAGCTACCAGTGGCCCCAACTGGCCCATCTCATCGTAGTGGCTCAGGACTAGGGCCATGACACACTACAAAATATTGCTGCTTTATTTGCACAGCATCTTCTCCAGGTGCAATGGGCCCACTCCTGTTTCCCTTCTTTAAAGGTGTCACTTTTTGCCGCAAACAGTCCTGAGGTTGGGGACAAGATCATTTGCATGAAGCAAGGGCTGCATGCCTCTCCATAGCTCTTTTTTATTACAGTTTCAGTGTTTTAGGAGGAAAATATTGTAAGGGAGAAACA